GATGCTTGGACAAAAGTATCAGATGGTCTTGAGGAGGGAACTTCACGGAACTGATAGGAGAATTGGAGGACAAGTAAAAGAACATGAGGTTGTGTATTTTCAAATAACACTTTGTTTCTTTATTTCCATATTCTCCAAAGGGGCATACTACCCTGGAGAACAAGGATTTGGGACTGCTTAGCTAGCATAATTTGACGCCACCATAAACTAAAATTCACTATCGGGGCTAAACAAACATATCACTTAATCCCACAAAATAACATAAATGGATGGCAAGGGGACAGTGAAACAACAAGTGTTCTATACTTTCTCTTGTCGTGCAATCCAAGGAGAAGGATACCTTAATTGAATAGGAATGGGAAAACCCAAATCTCATTGTTAATTAAATTTGTATATCCAACCATGATTGATTACATAAGTTAATTTAACCTACTATATCTATACTAATATAGTTTATCAAGATGGGTATGACGTGAGGATTATTAGAGAAAATCAATAATTTTCTATGATAACGATAGTTGGAAGAGAAAATTGGTTCTTATCAATGTATTATGTATGTGCTTATGAAATTAGGTTTAGTTAAATATAGGTCATTTGTTCATAACTGAAGTTTTATTCTATTTTTATTCTATTTTGTAGTTTTATTCTATTTTTATTTTTGTTCTTAAATCTCCTGCTATTAGGTATATGTTTATTAAATTGAGATTTTTTATACACAAAATACAGTTCATTTGTTCATGATGTAGCCTCTATATGGATGACATGTTCCACGCAATAATTGACAGTCAAACATACTTTGATTGTATTTTGGTGAATTATTAACTCTAACGATCAATAAAATTTTGGTAACAGAAATTACTTGACTCTATAACACGTTTCGGTCATTTTCTAAAGTTACAGATGCAAATGACGTTTTCAATAAAGTTGAAGATTTATAATGTTATAGACTTTTTTTGTGGGAGCAATATTAGAACTCTCTCGAAATAAAAGGAATAAATTTTGAAAATGTGACATGCTTAAATCCATTGTTATAAGAACCGAATCGGATCAACGGTCGGGCCAGTAGAATCGTCAAACCAGTTATGATAGCGGTCCGGTTCATTGCTTGTACGGTTATTGATGGACCAAACGATTTTTCATAGTTCAACATAAAATCAGATGAACCACCACGGTTTAACTGGTCCACTGGTTCATTATTTAAACAAAAAAATGTTAAAAAAATACTTCAACATAAACTAAAACCATCAAACCATAAGTATTAATTTTATATATGCTTCCTCTTCTCATTCCCACCTTGTTGTCTCCTACCGAGTGACACCTTTAATTTGTATAAAAAATATTATTTCTTTTATGAGATGGTTTGAATGATTTATTAGATATTTTGGTGATGATATGAATTTGAAATTGTTTATGGTCAACGATAATTTCATTTTTAAATTAGTGTAATATACAAATCTTATATATTATATATCATGAACGGTTCTATCAACGGTTCATCAACAATTTTGTATCGATTAACCACTGGACTCCTAAATCACTAACTTTTCCGGTTCATCCTCCGGTTCGGTTCTGAAAACATATCTTCAATCTATCGGCGCTAAAGTTTCCCAAAGCATTGAAGAAGCTAAGCTTTCAAGCTTGGAGGAGCAATCCCTTCTGGTATACAAAATACTGAAATAAAATGGATAAATGAATGGACCAACAGAAGTGATCCATTAAACCCAACTGGCTTGGGGGCTTGTCGTGGCACGTAAGCTTACTACCAAAAACTCATAAATGAAGAATTCCAAAAAACCATCTACCCGTCGCCCTCTTGCCCATCCAACTAAAAACGACACCCATCTTTTCACATTTTTGCCCAAAATATTACGAATCCGAACGATAAATACGAAGATAGTTATAATAAATGAAATTCATAAAATAAAATAGGTTACAGATGATAGCCGACTGGAAGTCGAATTATCAATAAAAGAACCTTTTATATCATGAGATGGGCAGCCTCTTAATACTTAAAAGGCATTAATGTCATGAATCTTGTCGAAAGAAATCATAGTAAGCAAGCCTCTGTCGGGAAAGGATTCTCACTGAGACTATCAGAATTCTTGATTTCTACCCATTCGAAGGTGAAAACAATGGAATGAGGTCCGTATCTTCACTTCTCCATATGTATATATGGTTCAACCTAGTATATACCTAATTAACGTTACCGTACACTTAACGAATTTTTTCTATTTACGTCGTGGATTATCTCAAATTTTGGGCATGAAGAACTATAGTCTTACATATATATGCTATTAATTGCATTACCTATGTGGATGCTTGTTTATTAGAGGCTATGAAATGGCTACGATTGACGAGTGATTTAAGGAAAATGAGTGAGGGGAAGAACTTAATTATTACAGCGAATGATTGTGTAATACCAAAGAGTGAATTAAGGAAATGAATTTGGTGATTGATTCTGGGCTCCCAACAAGGTAAACAATCATTTGAATTCAGACACCAATTATGTAATTTGAATTTTTTTTTTTATCTGCCCTAAGTCTCGCCTTAATTTATTATGTTTAGAGTTAGCCAATTAGGAGAATCTTATGTGTAAAGTGTAAACCTCCTGGCCCTTATGTATTATGTAATCTACATTCACTACCTTTTTCAAAGAAATTATGAATGTGTTCTCTCATGTTAGTTGACGTATCCAGCAAAAAATTACGTTAGAGAATCACGTAAATGTATGCATGTTATTTACTTTTTCTCACTTTATCAATCAATTACCAGATTATTACAACATGGCCTTCTTTGAAAATTATTTTAAAAGGTCAAAACCATACAAATAGATACAAAGACTACTATCTCCCATTACCTTGTTGAACTTTCCTAAGTAAATTGAATTTATTGAACATTTCTGACCCACCCTTGACATATTTGATTTAATTCCCTCGAGATCCTGTGGATGCCTCTGCCTCACTGCTTTGAATCTGAAAAGTAAAACCCTAACCCAAAAAAATCTGAAAGTAATTCCCATGGAGAAAAAGTTAGAGAAAGTAACACTGAAAATGAGTAGAGAGGTTGGTTCCAAATTGCAGTGAATAATAATATAGTAGATATGAGAAAAGGAAAGGCAAGATTGCAGTCTCCACAGGAAAGTGGGATAACGTAAAATGGAGGGGACAACACATACTGCCCCAGCAATAAAAGGGACGGAATTGGGACCGTGCCACCCCACCCTTATTATGATGGTCTTGTTGTAGTGTACCCTTTTCTTCTTCTTTAATGAATTCTCTCCTAACCAACACCAACCGCCATGAAAACCTCAGGAGTCAACCCCACTACCCTCTCCAACCCAGGGGCCAGGGTCACAAATGAGCCAAATTGCTTAATTATCGATTACTTTGTAAAGTTTTACTTGTCAGATATCTCGTTTTGAGCTTATGATTTGATCTGATAGTGGAAAAAATCCCAAAATGCTCTAATTATTAAAAAAAATTCCCAAAATACAGTACTTATGAAAATATTTCCCAAAATACAGCAGTTTGGTTATCACCGCTGTAAACCAAAACAGTGAAGGCAATCACCGTTTTTGACCAAAACGGTGATAGCATCACTGTTTTGGTTCAAAGCGATGATGCTATCATCGTTTTTGTCCAAAACGGTGATGTTATCATCGCTGTGGAGAACAACGTGTCAATTATCACCGTTTTGGTCCATGGCGATGATATGATCGCTTTTGTCAACAGCGATGATAAGGTCGACTATCTATCATCGCTTTTAACCAAAACGGTGATGCAATCACCATTTTGGTCAAAAACGGTGATAGCATCATCGCTTTTGTCCAAAACGGTGATAGCATCACTGTTTTGGTTCAAAGCGATGATGCTATCACCGTTTTGGTCAAAAACGGTGATTGCCATCACTGTCTTGGTTTGCAGCGGTGATAACCAAACTGCTGTATTTTGGGAAATATTTTCATAAGTACTGTATTTTGAGAATTTTTTTTAATAATTAGAGTATTTTGGGATTTTTTCCTCTGATAGTGGGGGTTAGACTTAGTGCATTAGCTCAGTGAACTGCTTAGTAGCGAATCGATATATATCTTATAAGTTTGCTTGTCGATAATTTATAGGTTTACCAGATTATATATTTTAAAATATATAATGGTTTAATATTTCGAGTAAGTGATAGAATATGGCTCATCAATAATCATTTTTGAGCCCAGGCTTTGTGCCCAGTCTCGATCGCTGGATCTTCCACTACACTTCGGGCCGTGGTCATCCCATCAACAACACTCTCTTCACATGCATGTGTTGGCTGCTGTGGAAAAATCGGAATAATTTCTGCTTCCAAGGTAAGTTGGACTCCTGGGCACACATTCAGGCTAGCTCGGTGCGGATTCGGCATCAAATCATGACAGCCGCGAAGAAAGAGCGAGAGGTAATCGAAGCTGGGGGGACTCCGAGCGCCTGCGATGATCCAATGGCATCCACCGCCTCAAGGGTGGTCATGCCTAAACACTGATGGATCTGTGATACTCGCACCTTCAAGCACGGCGGCCGGGGGCGTCGTTAGGAGGGACGATGGCCGCCTCATCACTGCGTTCTCCATGAACCTTGGGGGGGGGGGGGGGGGGGGGGGGGGTTCCATTACAAGCACCGAGCTAGCAGGAATTGTGCACGGGTTACAGCTGACTTGGGAGGCAGGAATTAGGAAGGTCGTTCTGCAGACAGACTCATCCACGGTGCTGAAGCTCATAGAGACAGCGACTCCACACCACTCACACTACACCTCTGTGGCTGAGATCAGACGTTGGCTAAGTCGAGATTGGCATGTTCAAATTCACCATGTTTTCAGAGAGGCGAACGTGGTTGCTGACCACCTAGCTAATTCGGGACATACGTTGCCGGTTGGTTTACACCGAACCTTAGCGTATTGGCTGTATCATGACTGTATTGGGGTTCAAACACCCCGTTCCATTCCAGTATAAAGGTTGGGACGCCCTTTAAGCGTTCCGTGATTCTACCCCAAAAAAAATTATTTTTGGTAGATTACTAAATACTTATTATTATGAAATAATATTATATAAACTAGGTAAATGTTATGAATTATATATGATATGAATAGAGTATATAAACATGAGATTAATTAAATATGAAAACTGACTCTTAATTTTTTTTATTTTATTATGATATGAGTCACATATATGTTTTGTATGACGATTTCAAATTTGAGTTTGAGACAAATTTGAGTAAATGAATTGAGTTTGAGTTCGAGACTTGGCTGTTTTTGAGACCTACTAACATTTCTTCGTTCATTTTATCAGCTTTGAAATTATCATTTTTTTTTCTGAAATTCCCACACAACTAAGAAATTGGAGAGGAAAAAAAAAAAGATTAGTGTCTATTGTCTAAAAGCCCAAACTGACAAAAAGAAACAAAATGTGTAAGTCTTCCTTTAGCTCCTTCATTTTCTCTTCTTTCTACTAATGTTTAGGTGGTATAGTGTGTGTCCTTTGACATAATGTTACTCTCAAATCTCCATCGAAGATGGAGTGGAGTGCACATGCAGCAGCAAGCAGCAAGCAGCATGCACTATATGCCATAATTCCCTCTCTGGCCCCCCACTCCCACCATAAATCTTTCCATATTTTTCACTTTTACTCCCTTCCTCAATCAACGCAATTTAGTCCGGCCGGCAAAATTTCCCTCCCAAAAGTTAAGGTCACCTTCTATAAGAAACACCTCCCTACCATTCTTCCCTAAACCAAAATCACACAGAAACAAGGGAGTCAGAATAAGCCAGCTGATCTCCTCCACCTCTGTCTCCATTCCCCCCTTTTTTTTTCCTCTGTCCCTAACAATGGCTCCTTCCTCTTGGAACCTCTTCTTTGTCCTTTTCCTCGTCGGTATATTTTCTTCCTCCATTGTTGTCCCAACTCAAGCCAGAGAAGCAAAGCTTTTCTTCAGCAAGTACGTCCACGCCACCACCAAAACCACTCCCAACGTCCCTAAACCAAACCCAGTTTCCCAAATCTCGCAACAACCCGCCTCTTCCCCTGCCCTCTCCCCTGCCTCCGCCCCTGCCACGGCAGAGAGCCAGAACGACGGCTATGGCCTCTGGGGCGCTGGATCTGGCATGGTTGTTCCCACCAATAAACAAACCACCGTCACCACCACCACAACCAAGGCCATGGACCCCACTTACAAGGACGACGATGAGCTCGAAGCAGCACTCAATGGCGGCGCTACCAGTAGCTATAGCGACGACAACAACTACAATCCAAATGGCTATAGTGGTAGCAACAACAACAACAACTATGACGAAAGTGCTGCCTTCTCTGCTGCCACTAACAGCTATAACTACAACAACAACAACAACAAGCAGTACAATCCCAATGGCTATAGCAGCAGCAGCAACAACTACGACGACAATGTTTATTCTGCCACCACCACTAGCAGCTACAACGACGATAGCAAGCAGTACAAACTCGGTGGAGCCCAGTACGTGACGGGACGGAGCCAGAACAACAACAACGGCAATAGCTTCGCTGCCAACTACAACACCGATGCTTACTTCACTGGCAGCGATGACGAAATCGACAACTTCTCTGCTGATGAGTCCAATTCCAAAACCAATGAGTACAAATTGGGGAACGCGCAGTATGTGACGGGAATCCAGAGCAGCAGCAGCAACAACAACAACGATGGGGATCGCTTCACGGCAAACTACGATGGCAATGGCTACTACGGCAGCAGCAGCAGCAGCTCGGGGAAGTACAATTATCAGAAGAAAAATTACAACAGTAATGGGTATGAGGAAGCAGAGAGGCAGAGGCAGGGGATGAGCGACACCAGGTTTGTGGAAGGTGGGAAGTACTATTACGATTTGAGCAATGAGGACAGCAAGGAGATGATGAGCAACTACCCGGTGAATTATGACAACAGCCAGAACGAGTTCGGCAGCAGCAGCAGCAGCAGCAGCAGCATGGAGGAACAGCAAGAGAACTGGCCGTGAATGGAGTACTCTGTGTAGGGACTTTTTCGTCTTTCTGTTTGTGTAGTGAACGATGCAGAACAATGGAATTGAGAGATTAAAGAGAGGGAGAGCCGACATTAGATTGGCTTTTTTTTTTTTAAAGTTAATTCTTTCTCACCCCCCAATCTGATCTTGATTTCAGTCCTGTTTGTGGGTTGTGAACCAGTGTTTCTGTTGGCCATGTATCAGTTTGATTTTCTTATTTATTAATCCAGTGTGATGGATCCAAAAGACGATGAACTATAGGATACTATATATAAATATAGTAATGTTTGGAGAATTACCGTTCCAAAACCTCTAGATTGTAAACAATTCTAATATTTTGCCCTTTCGAACGGTTGGGGGGAAAATTTACTACATTTCCAAAAAACACACCTACACACTCGTCTAAGTTCGTCTAGTCGCATGTCAGAAGGAAAAACACCTTGCATTGGCAAACAGCAGTGGAGAAGACACATTGAACATGTTGTGGTCTTAGTGACGCCTACTCAGCATTGAGTTACGTCTCAAAATGATGTCACGATGTCTTTTTCTACCTTTTGCTATGCTACTAGAAAGAACGGTTTTGAATTTTTTTACCATTAAACTAGAATATAGTTAGAGACGACTATATTTAGAGTAGCTTCTTTCTTTTTTGGTGATATTAGATTTCTACATGTTATAAAATATATATAAAAAAAATGTTAAGAACATTAAAGCACAGTCTTACTCCATGTTTGTTCAATTACTCTTTTACCCGTATATGCAATATAGACATTGAGTTCCGCATATGAATTGTGTAATTAATCGTTGTTCAAGGTTCGAACACAACTTCTCTCTTTCAGAAAATACGAACCGACTAAAACCCACCAGTATCGGGTTTGGGCCCAAATCCAACTAACAAAAGAGATCTAGTGAGAATAATGTAGCCTAAATTAAAGGGTAATGATTATTTATTAGCCAAATCTTTTTTCGATTCTTTTTAATTAGCAAAACCTATCAAAATGCTATTAATTAACCAAAATGTTAACTCTCCGTTAACTTTTCTATTTAATGATGGTGAGCTGTCAAATGTGGCACTGAGTTGGAAGGAATATTCTGACGTGGCACTGAGTGAAAACCTCAATTTCTCAAATAATTTGACTATATTTTATCATATATGATTTTTTTTAGTCTTTTAATGAAAATAACAAATATTTCTAATGTTTTTCATACAAATTACATACCGAATGAGTCGATCTATCCCGACCAGTGCCCATGATAAATTACCCGACATGAACCCAACCTGCCACGAGACAAGTATGAATATTGAGATACCTGATCCATTGTCATTCCCAGCAAATGTCAACTTAAGAAGACGAAAGGTTAGTCTTGTAAAAAAAAAAGGAAGACGAAACGTTAGTACACAATCTAATATTTCAATGTTAGGATCAGTACTCATTCCACATTCCAATTCCACGTTCTAATTGAAAATACTTCGGACATTGATACTCTTTACTCATGTAATGTAGCATAAGAGAACATTCAAACCAAACAGTGTGCACGAACCCTCAAAATTTCTAGCTTTAACTCTCCTCTTGGTAATCTGGGTTCTCCTTCAGGATCACAAATCCTTCCAAAATTGGCGACAGTGGAATGTACCTGAAGAACAAAAACACCACCACCAAAAGTATATCAAGAAAACGCTGGGAAAATTAGTTGTCCTCCTGAGAGAGCATTAGCCGGTTCTCTACAAAGCAATGCAGAAAAGCAAAGAAGAACATCTTACTTCTCCGTCGCTAGCTCAGCTCTGTCGCCAGCAGCCAATAGAACCGGCGTTGAATGGGTCTGGAAACCTGTTATGGTTTTGGGTCGACCAGCTTGGCCAACCACATCTACAGCCTGTCCGACCCGTACAGGCACGGACAGAGGCTTCAAATTCTCATCCACCGTCATCAACATTCTTGGCTGCAACAGAAGCAAACCCACCAACACAATAATTACAGCACCAAATTATAGTCATTTATTGGTTTTACATGACATGAAACAGAGGTATTGTACCTGCATTGCTAAGACGAGGAAGTAGAGGACGATGTGATATCTCCCCAGTACCATGGCCTTCATTTCAAGACAAGCATGCAAAAAAGTAACTAAACCTGCAAGCGCCACACTGCACACAAAGAAGAAGGGAAATATTCCACAAACATAATCAGGTAAAAAGCGGTAAACACCTTCCCATCTTGATAATTAATGAGAATCAGCACACAAAAAAATGTAGCTCTCCAGCAGGTCACTTACGGTGATAGCAAGAACCGATCAGAGTGATACGGATTGAGAGTCAACAAGCCCTTGCCTAAGTGCACAAGGCCTTGAGCAAGTCTTACCTACAGAAGCCAGATAACAAGCACTCAGAACTCAGACATTATGTACAATCATATGAAGGTAAACCAATCCAAGACAACGTTCACAGCTCGGACATATCATATGCTATCATGTGAAAATCAAACAGACCACAATAGTAGCAGCCTTACACAGAAAAGAAGGGTGGCATCTTTGTAATAATAACTCGAAAGATTGCGAAGCATGCCAGCAATTCGTGCATTATTCGTCCCGGCACCTATCAGCCCAAGGGAAATAATTGCAGCCTGCACAAGACATTGAGACATTGCTACCTTTAGAAATTATACAAAACCATCGAAGTAATACTCTGGTCTAGCAGAAAACTAGCTTACTGATGCAACTTCTGAATCCGTGTCATGACTAAGTCTGCTTAGCGTATCCATCACATTGACCTGATACAAATTTACCCAATAAGTTACAGAAACACTATGATAGATGACAAGCAGAGTGATCAATGAGTTTGTGGAAAACAAAGCCTAAGACCTTATGAAACAACTCACCTTTGGATTCGATATGCATAGAAGGGCAAGAGCCAGAGGAACTGACCGCCGGATGTTCTGTTCCCCATATTGCAAAAGATGCTCCAAAGTTCGAATTGCCATGTCAAGTCCCAATTCCTCAGCCATAGACACCATTGCTATTCCAAGCACCGCAGGTCCCTGGTAGTTTTCACCCTTCTCCAAATGCTGAGCACAATTCCCAAGGAGGTTTTGAACCTAGAGCAAGAAACAAGCCACCAATTAAAACCGGGGAGAAATGAAGAAACAATGTTCCCAGGTAGAGCAAAGCAAAAGCAAAACAAACGATCCAAAATAACACTTCTAGCTTCTTGAATGAAAACTGCAAATTTATTGACATCAAAAGCATACCTTCAGAACATTCCCTGTCCCAGCGTAGGCACAAGAAAGTAGGGTCATATCACAATACTTTCTGATCTTCTCGTTAAATGTCTTTGAGACCTCAGCTGTAGCTTCTACACTTTCCTGCAGGTGAGTAGACATCAGTAAGTGTACAAGGCTCTCTGCTGTCTTAAATAAACCCAAAATTAGCCACCTGTAGCAAATATAACACATGACCAAGTGAACTTTACACCAATCCAGTGTCTTAAATTTCACGTACCTGCTTCCCAAGGTATAACAGACCAAGACCAAGTGGCAAAAATTTTGTAAGAGGATCCTGCAACTCTGCTTCACTTCTGTCCATCAGAGCAAATATTATAGCTTGTGCAACCTCTTCATTGCAGGAACCAACATATATCAACCCCAAAGAAATTGCAGTGAAAGCTACTACGTCGAGGGGAGTTTTGGAATCGCTAAGTATGGGCATCAGTTTCCCACGTATCTGCAATCACGTAGAGATCATTAAGTCGCCTGATAGGAACATACAGGAATAAAGGCATATGCACAATCTAAATAAAAGCAAAATATATAACCTGCTCATTTTGAGCTCCAGCATATGCCACTCCCAAGCCCATAATGGCACCGATTCGAATAAAAGGATCTTCCTTATCTACATAATCAGCCAAAAGAGCCAAAGCCTGCAAAATGAACACAGCATAAGCTCCAAAGACAGAAACACAAGATACATCTTGGGAAGTGGGAAATGACTACACTCACGGGATCACAATCATTTTTCACGCTACAGTTGACGATTCCAACTCCCAATAGAGCACCAGCAATCACATAGTTATCATTGCTATGGAAATACTTGTCGATTTGAGCAAGGCCAGAATCAACATCCCACAACAAAATCATGCCCTGTGCAACAAACAACATTTCGACCTTTAGAATCAGGGGAACTTAACTCACTTAAAGCCAAGGAAAAAGGGTTGTGCATACCAGACTTGCTGCAGCACTAGCCTTCCCATGCTCTTTATTCTTGAAAAGCCAATTTCCAGAGGAACCCCCAGTTGCAGCGTCAGATGGAACAGTCATCAACTTGTCCTGAACCAAGATAAAAACATTGAGCCCCTATCTTATTAACATAGATCACAAGACGGGTTGCAATGACATTTACCTGACCAAAGCCTGCGTTTACAAATGCATTGACAAATGTAGCAGCCAAATTTTGTCGTGCAGAATCAACACTAGCTCCAGCACTAGCCCGACCATCAAGTAAGTGTGCCTAAAAAAATCAAGCTCGCGTCTCAAGAAGGGGGAAAAGCAATGCAACTAAAGTTGACTTTATCAGCGAACTCTAAGGGAAAACTAGAATGAATCAAGGAAAAATAAATAAATCACTAGATCTACATGAACATGTACATTATACATTCAATAAGAAAATGCAGTTGCACTTCAAACCTTATATATATCTTCAGGAGATTTCGCCTCCATGACTTCAATATCACGTGCAAGTGCAAGATAACCTTCACTCAACTTTGCATTGTTAATGATGTCTTGCATGGCATATCTTTCCTCATCATCAGCACACATCTCTTCATCCAGCTCAAAAGTTATGCCCTGCACAGATGAACCAGCAATTAGATACAAGGAAAAAATTCAACTAAAAAAAATAGAACCGGTAGATTTAGCAAACACCTGCCGGCCCAGGATATAACAGAATTGCTTCTTCCGTAGGACATCATCACAGGCTGTGAAAACCTGCTTCACATACTGCATTCAACATTAAATTGTTAGGAAGGGACAGCAGTGCAACATATATAATAACGAAAATAAACATCAAGTCAGTCAAAGGCACCATAAAAACGGGGAGAACAATTACCAGCTACTTCATAGCTTAAAAGAACAAGATGTAGACTGGAGAAAGAAAAAAAAAAGCAGTCACATAGACACAACATTCGGTGCTTACCTGTAGGTTGTCAAGGTACAAGGCAATTTGAAGTGCGTTTGCATACTCCTCAAATTTTATGTCTATCATATATGCAATATCCAAGACTAACAAATCATCAGGACCGGGAAGGT